GTTTCTTGTGGTTTTGCCACTTTCTCGTTATGTTGTTTATGTCCACGCTATTCGTGGAAGAACCGATAGCGCTTTTCCAGGCTTCCTCCACGGAGCTCCTTGATGCCTGTTGAATATTTTCGCCGGTGGTAATCCTGACTGAAGCGTGCAGGAGTAGGATTGTTCCAGCCGTTTTTTTTTTTTATTCATGCTTTCTCACGAGCCTTCTTCCATTTTCCTACTTCCTTGAGTTGCCTGGCAAAGCTCCTGACGGATTCGTAGCCCAGTTGAGCGTTACCCCCCGCTGGTGTTCCTGGCAGAACCTCCTTCCTCGCCATTCACCCGCAGCCAGCCGAACGCAGAGCGTCTCCGAAGGTCACCCAGGCTGGGGGGAACCCACCAAGGGCAGGATTTTTCAAAAGCCTCCAACTTCGAATTAATTCTGCCCCTGTCGAAGTTAAAGACAAAGCCGTCTCGGGTCTGAGGACGCTTGGAAATTCCTCCCCGGCTGCGAGGAGGCAGCCTGAGTGCCAAGCCAGACAGAGGGGTGCGTGTGAGATGGGGCAGCGGTGCCCCGCTCCTGCGGGGAAGGCTGGGGACAAGAGCGGCGCTGCTCAGATCCCCCTGCCGTGCAGCGGGCCTGCTGGAGCTAATTTAATGGCCTAGCAGAAAAGGCAGTTCTGTGCCAGGCTAAAGAGATTGCGAGCGCCAGGAAGGCAGCAGAAAAGAGGCAGGAGAGGCTGATTTTTTGAAACTCAGCTGCTGCTGCAGCGTTTTCCCATTATCAGATCAGAAGCGACTGATGACATTTCCCCATAGTTGGCTTTAGATAATATTCGGTCAGTGAGAGGATGCACGTTGCAGAGCCCTGGGAGCCTGCTCACGTCTGCTGTGGTGCGATGGCGGTACGCGGGGACAGAGAGGGGAAGAATAACCTTTGGGTGGCGAGGAACTACTCTGAGCGTGAAGCTATAGCTGAGCTTTGGGAGAAGACGTATAGGTTGAGCGTAACCCTGGCAGCTGGATGATGGGAAGGATGCTGGTCAGCAGATTTCTGCTGGCACTCTGGTTTCATGGTGATGAGCACAGAATTGGACCTCGGAGCCCCTTGGGGTAGCTGGGGAAGGACCGCTGGAAATTAATAAATACAGCTTTACAGGTCGTCTTCAAAGCCCGCTTTCCTACCGTTTTGCACCCCACTGTTCAGCAAGCACAACAGATGCCCTGCTGCATTTCGAGACGTGCTGCTCGTATCGCGACTGAAGTCGCGACGCTGCTTCCCGCGCTGGTGGGTTCGCCTTAGGTCGGCTCCTCCGGCGCTGCCTTCCCGTGGCCCGGGCGGTGCGCAGCCAGCCCTCAGACAGGCGCGAGGCGCCGGGGGCACGATGTCCTGCTCTGGTCTCCCTCGCCAGGTCGGAAAACGGCTGCTTGCGCGTCCTGGTGCAGCAATCTCTAGTTTCCAGATCAAACGCGCGGCGCTGATTCCCGCTGGGCAGCGACAGGCTGCCTGAGGTGATGCTTTGCGGCCCGAGTGTAATGGGGTGGGGGCAGGCAGGAGAGGCCGTGCCTGCGGCGTGTTTAGAGCTGCAGACGACGGTGGGCTTGCCATGAACGAAGAGTTGAAACTCCAGGTACGACGGAAAATATGTATATTCCCCTCTGCTTTTCTTATTGATCAGGCAGCAAAAAATGGGATGGGAAATTCTACTAAATACTTAATTTTTCAATATGATACAATATAGTCAATAACTACATTGTTTTCTTTTGAGGTACAACCTTTAAAAAGAGATTGTTTTTCAGATAGACTAGAATCTAAGTGTTAAGTACGAGAAGGCTTGGAGACGAGCAGTGCGATTCCACCGGTGTATGCTGACGCTGGCTTCACCAGCTCCCTCTGGCGTGTTTCTGGCACAGCTATTGTCACTGCTAACGAAGAAAAAGGCAAAGATGTAGGAAGAGAGTGAAAGAACACTAGAAGAAGCACCATCCACCCCCAAAAAAGCGCAGACAAGAAGTCAGGCTCATGTTACTGAGGAGAAAAGAGCAGTCAAAGTTCATGAGAGTACAGAGAAAGAATAAGGCTAGAAAGGCAGCACGGGAAGGACATGCTGAAATAACCTGGGTGAGTAAGAAGATGGGGTTACTGGGCTGATCAGAAAGAAAGGTTGATGTCTTAGTTGAATTTCTTTTGCCACAAAATATTTGCCGAAACGCACGAGGTCTTCACATACTTACCGTCTCCGTGTATCTGAGCGCACTTCGGAAGAATCTGTCCTTTTCCGACAACGATTTTGATCTTCTGTTCTCCTTCACTATCCTTTAAAAAGGGTAACCTGAGCCTCTGGGGAGGAGCAGCTGATCAGAGCAAGCCTGCCGGCTGGTTTGGTTCCTTTTCCCAGGAGGTGTCTCTGCCCCTTCCCCAGAAGAGTTAGACGTCTTTGTGCTGGCATGGCACCACGTTGTGTCTTAGTCCGAAAGTCAAGGGCGGGGGAAAAAAAAACCCAAACCCTGTTTCAAAGCATCAGCAAGTTGCTAAGCGTTTGCACTTTCTTTACTTTGGAACATGACTGTCTGAGGAAAACCAGAGGACAGACCTGTCGTGAGAGAAAAGCTTCCCGTGAGCGTGGCGAAGGTTGTCCTGATGGATCTTGCTTTGGGGCCTGGCAGAAGGGGTGCTTCCCTGTCTCGTAGAGGTGCTTGGGGAGAAACCCCAAACATGCTGCCTGGCAAGGGGGGCTGAGGAGCTGCATCCTCCTCTGCCGCTGGGCATCTCACCTTTGTTCTGCTCCCGACAGCAGCTTTGCCCCGGCTCGGGTGCGTGTCCCGAGCAGTGGGTCCCGTACCCGTTTAGGGAGGGTACAGATTTCCTTGGCAGGTTTTGCCGAGCGCGTCCCTCAAACTCGCGCGTCCGAGCATTTTGGCCTTTGCTCGCTCTCCCGGGGGGTACGTGGTGCTGTGGACTTCAGGTGGTGAACAATTGGCAGCATCAATTTGAAGTTGCAACGGTTCTGTTGGGGAATTACCATGCACCTGATTTTTTTCTGGTGCGTTTAAGGTATTCTAGGTCATAAATATTAAAACGGTCAGTCAGCATGTGCTTTGGGGCTTCTGAGAGCTGGTGGAGCCAGGCTGTCTTGGGAGCTGCTGTGGATTTTAGGTAGCTCTGCTGAAGCAGATTCCTTTGCGACTCGACGGCACTGATTTTTCAGCAGATCGGGCAGATGTTAGCAGCGCATTCACTTAAACTTCTGTTCGTAAAATTTCTCTCTGACAGAAAGGCATTAGGGGATAGGGGACGGAGTTGGGATGAAGTTGGGAGTCGGCTGTGGCAGGGTAAAACATCGGCTGCAATAACTTGGTGATCAAGCACTGGGTGTTCAATTGATGGTGGAAACATGAGAGGTCTTTCAGCGACACGGTGGCTGAGCGACCTCGCCGGCTGCCTTTCGGTGGTGGGGTTTTACAGTATTTCAGTTATGTGGCCTGGGTGGAGGCGGCAGTTTCGGCGTGCTATTGGAGTAAAGGATGAAGACAGGCAATTCCTGCTACCTGCCTGCTTATTGATCCTTTTTTTAAAAGTGCCCTTACCCTCAGCTTCCGCACGTGTAGTTGTGTTGCTGTTTTACGGATTACAGAAATTCGTTAAAAGGGGTAGATACGATTGTCTTTCAACAAAATAATCGGGGGTAGGGGGGGGTGTGTGTGTGTG